AGGGCAGGATAGCCGAATTAGGAAAAAAATTTTTGTTATAAAAATTATTTTTAAAATTATATTTTTTAGTTTAAATTTTTGCTTATAATCTAAAAATAAATACTACAAAAAAATAATTCTTATTTTTAAATATAATTATACAAAGTTTTATTAATTATTTTAATTTTTTAAAAAAGTAAATCAGAGCTAAAAAAGTGTAAAAACACAGCCAAATTTGTCTGTATTCTATTATAATTTAAAGAATAACTTTGATTACACTAACAAGACTAAAAACTTAAGGATTTATATGATGTTATATAAAACACAAAGAAATACAAGCTGGTACCAAAGTTATAATAAGACTATCAAGCATAGAAATTTAAGAGACCAGAAGAACTAAAGTTTACTTAAAATCCAAATAGAAAGATAGTATAAATCTTTAACAAAATTACTGTAAAGGCTAAATTTAGGCTAAAAACTGATATACTAACCAAAATATCAAACTTATTATTAATAAAAAAAAGAATGTAATTCAGTACTATATATTAGAGACAAATTATAGTTTTTTTAAATTATTTGAATTGGGAGTTTAAGAAGATTTGTAAATAAAATACTAAAGTACTAGAGATATACTATGAAATAAGAACTAAGATTTAAATAAACTTTATAAAGGTCAGAAGCTTGCAGTAAAAGATAGTAAAAACTATCTACTAACTAGTGAAATATTTTAGTATAAAGATACTTGGCTTAAAATAATTGGTGAGTATATATGATTATAGGGAATCTTCAAAAAATTGTAAATACAGTAATTAATATAAACATTCAAGCAAACTATTTAAATAAGCAACCTAAAGTTGCATATATAGTTAGATTATATTCTCATCATAATACTAAAATATAAATCTATAAAGTTAATAACAAATATTATAATCAAACTTCTATAAATATAATATATAAAACTAGCCTAAAACATGCATTTAGAGAGGTTTATATTTAAAAAAGCTAATCAAATTGCAACTTTTAATATTTGATCTGTGGGCTTGTATAATAAATTTAAATACTAACTTTTGATTAGCTACATGTATTTAAAGAGATTAATATAATATAAAAAATCTTTTGAGTGAATGTATATTTGCAAAATATAAAATATATATTAAGCACTGATAATTTTATATAATCAAGACAAAAATATATATTTAGAGAGATATTGTATTTATAAAGGTTGCATTTAGAAAGGTCTGATTGTAATAAAGCTTAATTCTGAAAAACACTTTAAAAAAATTAAATAAATAAATAAAATAAAATAGAAACTTATATTTTAAATTAGAAACTACTGGCTAGTTAGCTTTATTATATAACAAAGTTAGGATTTTATTATTAAATAATTTTTTTTATTTATCTGTTTAAGTACTACTAACTAGTATCTTAAACTAGTTTTTATTACTATAGCTTAATCACAGATACTTTAGATTTTAATATTATATAATTGCTTAGTACTTTCTTCTGTTTTTTTATATACTACTTACTATAGTGGAATTTAAACATATTTTATAAATATATGTTGTGCCCCAGATGCAAATCAGCCTAGTTGACAATTGGGACGGCCCAGATAGCAATTTAATTTTGGGCTATCAGTTTTACTCCAGATGCAAATTGTAGATCATTATAATATTCATAAATAAATTGGCTAATTAAAATCATCTGGCATTAATAGAAGTTCAAGAAATATCATAAATATACTATACTAATAATTATTTATATTATTTATTAAACATTTTACTTAATAATGCAAAAAACATTTTGAATTTATTGTAATTATTTAAGCAATTACATATTAGCTTAACTAATATAAAATATTTCAATTCTAATTATTTTAATAATAAATATTATTTGGATGGCAACGAGTACTGCAAGTTGCACCTGCCTTTTTACATTTACAATGATTTTTCAAACAATTTCCTTTGCAAAGACATTTTGTAGCAATTATAGACCCGGAGCTTTGTTGGATAGCAGCTTCACAGGCACTTATACAAGTATTAGAAATAACTGCAAGCTCAGGATATTCTCTAAAAGTTCCAGTAACAGAAACCAATTCAATAGCTGAATAATATTCGTTCAACCTTCCATACTGGCAGCCCAAAATGTATATGTCATTCTCAGTAATTTCCAACACTTTACAAGGTATGTATCATCGATCAATACCAGCACGATCAACTTCATGAATTTAAATCTGAACCAAATCATTTAGTTCAAATCTACATGGATGTTTTCTCCCTTTTTCCATTTGCACCCTCATTTTTTCCGTATAAACTTCCAAATGTTTAATAGCTTCGGCTTCAATAACATTTTGAGTCGCATAAAAAGGTGGAGATGGACGAGAACTCCGATTCTTAAAAAAAAAAAATAAAAAAATCAGTAAATAGAGTAGAAAAGCTATACTTGATCTACACAGTAAACCAAAAATTAAATTTAAGAATAGCCTGGCCAATACATTTATTTAATTTTACAATCCAATGCATACTATTTGCGTGGTCATATCATTCAATGGAAACCTCTGGGTAATAAAATAGTAAAAATAAAAATTAATAAAAAAAATCCATTATCTATATCTGGGTTTGATTCAAAATACTGATAAACGGAATCCTGACAGGAACAAAGTTAACCAGGATTAGCTTAAAGTTGGCAAATTTTTTTAGAAATTTCGACCCTGTCAGGATTCTTGTTTTCAGAATATTGACCCAAATCCTCCATATCCATCTTTAATGCTTAAATTATACTCACCATATTTTATACAGCACTGGATAGTGGTGGCGAAACCTAAAATTTCAAAGATAAGTGATAAGTTATTATTTTTCATTTAAGGTATTATTTTTTTATTAAATACTTACCATGTTTGCTACTGCATTAGGTGGTGGCTGAAATGGTGAAATCTAAAGTTTCAAATTATGATCAGTAAATTCTTCAAACCAAAGTATACATTTCTGATTTATCTTTTACCACATTCTCATCATACAATAGCAATAGCAGAACCTAAAATTTTAAAGTAATTATAAGTTGGCATTTCTCAAATTTAGGTATTGATAAATTAATTGATTTTTACCACACTCTCATTAGGTGACGATAGCGGCGAAACCTAAATTTCAAAAAAAAAAAGTGTAAATGGCTTTTTCATTTGAATTATTTTTCTTACTAATATTTACCATATTCTTGTTAGGTGGTAACAGTGGCAAAATCTAAAGATAAGTATAGTTAATTACTTTTAAGTTAAAATAAATTTATAGTTTTGTATTTACTATAGTCTCGTTAAATGATGACAGCGGCGAAACCTAAAATTTCAATACATATAAGTCGTCATGTTCAATTAAATATTAGCTCTTATTCAATACCTACCATATTTTCCACAATATTATATGGCGACGGCAATGCTGAGACCTAAAAATTCCGAAGAGAAGTGTAATTATCAATTTTCCTTCAGTATCATTTTCTAATTCAATACTTATCATATTTTCCTCCACATCAGGTGACAATAAATTCTAAAATTTTAGAGTTTTGTATGAGTAATTTCATATTTAATGCTTAATTCAGGTATGATTCCTAATTAAATACTTATCATATCCATTATCATGTTGAGCGGCAGCAGCTGCAGCAAATTCTAAAATTTTAGATAGTATGAACGTTTAGTTTCAATTAAAAGTATTATTTTTTATTAATACTTACTGTATTTTTTATTATATTAGGTGGCGGCGAAGATGAATTCTAATTTTTTTTTCTTTTGTTAAAGAATGATTACTTAATTAGAATAATATGATCTTAATTCTGATATTTACCACCATGTGGGGCGGAAGCGACAGCGGTGAAGACGAGTTCTAAATTTTTTTTGTTAAAGTAAGAGCGATTACTTAAAATTATATAATCTTAATTCTGATATTTACCACCATGTGGGGTGGAAGCGATAGCGGCGAAGATGAGTTCTAAATTTTTTTTTGTTAAAGTAAGAGCAATTACTTAAAATTATATGCTCTTAATTCTGATATTTACCACCATATGAAGCGGAAGCGACGGTGGCAAAGACAAGTTCTAATTTTTTTTTTGTTAAAGTAAGAGCGATTACTTAAAATTATATGCTCTTATTTCTGATATTTACCACTATGTGGGGCGGAAGAGACAGCGGCAAAGACAAGTTCTAAATTTTTTTTTTGTTAAAGTAAGAATGATTACTTAAAATTATATGCTCTTAATTCTGATATTTACCACTATGTGGGGCGGAAGTGACGGTGGCGAAGACAAGTTCTAAATTTTTTTTTGTTAAAGTAAGAATGATTACTTAAAATTATATACTCTTAATTCTGATATTTACCACTATGTGAGGCAGAAGCGACGGCAGCGAAGACAAGTTCTAAATTTTTTTTTGTTAAAGTAAGAGTGATTACTTAAAATTATATGCTCTTAATTCTGATATTTACTACCATGTGGGGTGGAAGCAACAGCAGCGAAGACAAGTTCTAATTTTTTTTTTGTTAAAGTAAGAGCAATTACTTAAAATTATATGCTCTTATTTTTGATATTTACCATGTGAGGAGGAAGCAGTGGTGGTGAAGACGAATTCTAAATTTTTTTTTTTTGTTAAAGAGCAATTACTTAATTAAAATTTTATATTCATATTTACCATTATGTAAGACAAAAGCGGTAGTAGCGAAGTCGACTTCTAAATTTTTTTTTTTTGTGTTAAAGTAAGAGCGATTACTTAATTAAAATTATACGCTCTTAATTCTAATATTTACCATCATATGGGGTGGAAGCAGCGGCGACGACAACGAATCCTAAATTTTTTTTTTGTTTTTTTGCTGAGGTAAGAGCGATTCCTTAATTACAATTATATGCCCTTCAACTTTAATATTTACCATCATATTAGGTGGCAGTGGCGACAATGGATCCTGAATTTTTTTTTTTGTTAAAATAAGTTTACTATCATATTAAATAGTGGTGATAACGAATTCTAAGCATTTGAATAATTTTACATTTTAAAGTGTATCAATTTTAATACTTGCCATATACTGCATACTATTCGATGATGGAGAATTCTAAAATGCGAAAATAAATATGATAATTTTTATTATTTTATTTAATTTCATAAAATCAATATTTACCATGTAATATATATCGTCTTCACGATTATTCTCATTAAATTCATTATTTTCGTCATCATATTCATCGTTTTCGACCTGGATGCTTTCTTCTTCATTATCATCAAACTGAATATCATCATAATATTCAATATGAATATTATCAGGAATATTTTCTTCATATCGAACACCCTGAGACCAAAGCTGATCTATAAGAACACAATTGCCACGAGGTTCATGATCAAAAACTAACTTAAATAGTCTTTTGTTAGTAGCACGACATATAGATAAATTCATTGAATAAATTATAGTTGCTAAGCCAACTGTCTAATATAAATCTTCATTTTCGTTTTGGCAATCCTCAAGCTATTTTCCAAGTTTGTCTTTTAGCACAAAGTTTGCCTTCTCAACAGAACCTTGTGTTTGCGGCTTTCTTGGCTTCCCGTGAATTATTTTAAGATTTGGCCACAATTTTGAAAAATTGTTAATGATATCTGCTGTAAATTCATGCCCATTGTCACTCTGTAAAAAGATCGGTGGTCCAAATACAGTAAAGATGTCAAACAAGAATATAGCCACTTTTGCTGCATATTTATCTGTAAGAATGCGGCCTTATGAAAAACGGGAAAAATGATCCCTGGCATGTGCTATCCACTTAAACTCGCCATCTCTTCTAGTTTGCATATCTATAAGATCGATCTAATAAAAAAAAAAAAAATTAAAAAAAATTAAATAATAAATATATAAAGATGAAACAAAATATAAATTTTATATGTACTTGAAGCCGTTGCATAAAAAATTTGCTAATAATAGGCTTTATAGCTAATGG